GTTTCCTACACACTGAAACGAACCGCACGTTAACTTTGCTTCCTTCCAATACCTGCCCTTCTGCCTATAAGCTACGGAAAAGTGTGTTGGGCCTAAATGTCTCTGCACTTGCTGCGCTTACTGGCCTTTAAGCTAAATGACAGTTTTTAAGTTGATAATAAGTCTCACACATTCACTAATGGGTCCAGGCTTGAAAATTTATGAAATATCTCAGGTAGTTCATAAATTTTCCTCGCTCCAACCTTATATTTCTTGAAAGCCCGGCACAAGACGATCGAAATGTTTTACTGCCGATGTTCATAACCACTGCAAAACGACAGATTCAGCCACTCATTCACTTACTGGTAATAAATTCCCAGTTTTAGCTGGAAAGTCAAGAAGGCTGGAATCTATTAGTTGAATAGATCTTGAAAATACTTAAATAAATCTGAATTTGTGTTTCTCTGAAGAAGTTCCACGAAACAGAGATTTTTGTTTTTAAACTTTTGCACGTAGAAGCATATATCAAACATTAAATTCACTAAAAGACGATACTTGAAGAATTAGGATTTCTCACTGTAAACAGCTAGTTCATGAAAGTGCTGGATAATTTTTCACCAGGATATAGTCTGAGCATCTCACACAAAGCCGGCCTAGGTGTCTGCTCATATCTGGATAGTTTACTGCTATCTTCAGCGGCATTCCGGTCACTGGCTCAAAGTGGCCATAGTGCGCTGAACCTGGAAATTGCTTATTCATCTTTTTGCGGGTTGTCGAATGGTACTGCTACGCCTGGACATATTTTGGCACTCAAGCGTATTCAGCGTATTCGCTGGATAACTCTGAAACACCCAGTGGCCAGCAAGGTGCAAGCATTGGTCACATTTGAGAAGTATGACGCAGCGGGTACAAGACTTCTTAAAAATAAAACGTAAAGTGAAGCACGTGTCGGCTGTTATCGTGCTACCGGCGAATATCAATAAGAATTCGAAAAGCACTGAACAATTTTAAATTTTTCTTTATGATATACTGAAAAGCAGTGAATCGTTTTATAGTCATTGCATGCAGGAACTCCTCCGTCAGCTGTAAATACCATGCTGAGAACAGACGCAACGAAAATCGGACTTTAAACCAATAAAATCGCTTGAATCATTGTTGGGAAGCTCCAAAAAGCGTTGCAAGCAGAATTTGACTGTGCTTGAAGTTCGACTTCATTGCGCAAATTTACAGAAAAATGTTTTTTAGAATTTTGCAGCTCTAAGGCAGTTTCAGTTCCATG